GTTATGCGTTTCTATTCTTTGTGTCGTCTATATGATAGTAACAGCATTACAAGATGCAGTCAATGTGTAATTTCATTCCTTACTTTTCTATTTCTTATAAAGAAAATAAGTCCCGCGCAACCTGCTTAAATTATATGACAGGGAACCATCATATACATGGCTGAGTGCGGCGTAAAACAACAAACACCACCCACACATAATTAGTTACGTTGAGGAAATCACATTGACAAATAAAGATAGGTACCATTAATTAAGTCTAATATATCACAGCTTATATTATATGTCACAGAAGAAATAAATCTCAGTTTGACGAAAATGAATAATACAAAGAATCTTTGACCAAGAAAGCGGCGTTGGTGCAAGTTAACTCGTAATGTCCGCCATTTAAGACTGTTAATCATTACATATGGGTATCATCTACATTTATAGAGCAGCATGTGATATACTGACGTTTCACTTCGTGTAGCTTGCAACATGTGATTGAGCTAAAAACTGACTTCTCCATGGCGATTGAAATGCCGTGGTCTTCAAATGTCAGGCTTGCCTTCTTGTTTTATCGAGAGAAAAAATATTGTCTCCGAACATTCTTGAAAAGAAATTTATGCTCCAGACTGTTTGAAAAACAAAGAAATTGCCTGCCACAAAACTTGCATTGTTGCAGGGTGTTTTTCTCTGTAAAAGAATTTTCAGTTTTAAATTAGAAAAAAATCTGGTTTTGTAGCTATAACTGAAAATAATATCAAATCTCGATACAAATCCCAACCCCAACACACACACGCACCAACACCCCCAGCCCCACCCTACCTCGCTCTTTAACCGGAAACACTACCCATGGATTGCAAGGCTCGATATAAACTCTTTAGCGACCGGGTGGTCTATACTTCCTTGTACAACTATATAAAGGGAAAAACAGAAGATGGTGTAAGCCAAAACATCCACAGGCATTGTCAAGAGTTATTGCAACAAACTGATGTCACAACATGGTGCTGAAGGCAGCAGGTCTCTCGCTTGCCATTGGTTTAGTCCTTCATGTAATATACTAACTGGTACGAGTATGGTTACTGGCACAGCGGACGGTGGCAGAGATGTAGAGGTGGAACATGCCAAGGGATGGATTTTAATCCGCGTACGTTTATTTTGACGTTTTATGCAATATAACCATTGCAGTATCTTACATTGAACGGGCTGCATGCAGGGATAGAAACAGGGGGTGGGGGGGTGGGGGTGGGGGGGGGGGGGGGGGGGGGGGGGTGTGTTAATGGAGCTAGGGAGATTAGATACTTTTAGCTCCAGCTGCAAAGAAACTGATACTGATTTTCTTTTGCAACAATGTATTTTTTGTGGCAGACAATGTTTTTCTATATACAAGAATTTTCTGGGACAATTAGTTAGGATGATAATCCTCACCCCCATCCCCATCCCCTCATCAGTGGTGTGACTCCAAGTTTATTCAAGAGGTTCGAATCCGATTTTCAATATGGACACTGGCAGCAACATTTGTAACAGTTGACTACATATTCAGGTGAGTTAAAGTGTCGTGGCAACCAATGAAGCCAGGGCCTGGTTCCAGTGGGTACATAGGGACTGGTACCTTATAACAGGGGTGGGGCGGGTTTTGGCGGAGTTGGGATTGGTCTTAGGACTGTATCATATGTTGTCGACCAACTTTTTTTTCATGAAAATGTTTCTTGTTTGCCATAGTGTGCAACATGCGCAATAGCCCTGTCATCCGGGTACCCTGGGTCATTGGTCAAACCTAGCTCCAATGATTGCACAACGACGGCTGTCATACTGTACCGTGGAAGCAGGATGGCGGAACTCTTCCGAGTTCAAGTGCTTCCAGATACCGTTATCCTTTTTGAATAATCTTACTAGTAATAAGAGACATGTCAATGATTGCACAGAGACGTTGGTATGTAGTAACCAGCAACACATTTCTCTTTGTACGGATTATTATTGAGCTTTGTCTTTAGGTTTTTGACTCGAGTCAAAATTTGAAAAAACTGATGCGTGGTTTTGGCAGATTTCTTCCTCAGTTAACACACCGGCCTAATACTAGAGTGACATAAGTTCACACCTCACATGTACCGAGTTATTTCATGCGTCTTTAGTTTCCTTGTTGACATTATTCCTTTTTCTTACAGAACCGTGGATATAATCAGAGCGACGTGGGACTCGAATCCACCATGATAAGGTTCAAGTTCGCCTAAGGGACGCGACCCGTGAAGATTCCGGGGTAGAATAGGTCTTCAGCAACCCATGCTTGCCGTAAAAGGTGACTATGCTTGTCGTAAAAGCCAACTAACGGGATCGGGTGGTCAGGCTCGCTGACTTGGTTGATGCATGTCATCGATCCCAATTGCGTGGGTCGATGCTCATGATATTAATCACTGGATTGTCTGGTCCAGACTCGATTATTTATAGACCGCCGTCATATAGCTGGAATATTGCTGAGTGCAGCGTTAAACAATAAACCAACCAACCAACCTAAGGGACGCAACTCCGAACTGGGAAATGCGGCGCCGTAGACGACTGAACCTTCGCGTAGCCTCTTTATGGCCGTGCATCCCAGACCTCGTAGCAACCTATGCTTGTCGTAGGAGTCGACTGAATTGATCTGTTGGTCAGTCTCGCTGACTTGGTTGTCTGAATCATATCCCAATTACTAACGGCAATTACTTGGTTGATGCATGTCGTCGTATTCCAATTGCGTAGATCGATGCTCATGATGTCAATCACAAGATTGTCTGGTCTAGATTCGATTATTTACAGACCGCCAGACAAAAAACAAGTTTATTTACTCAAACACTGAATGTTGCACAACATTTCTCAAGTCCATACAAAAAAGTACATACATATAAATAACATAAAAATATGATAGACATGTATCTTCATAATTCTTCGCATTATTCCGATGGCGTATATATAGAAACATGTTCCAAAACGCATAAAGAACAACGCCGACGTTCTGCCCTTTCGGTATCACCACATAAAACCCACTCTTCTAGTAAGGAAGTGAAATGTACATCGTGCAGTCAATCATGAACATATACCACATCATGAGATGTTCATGAGGCCCCGGGACCGCCTCCGTGGTCTAGTGGTAGAGCGTCCGCCCGGAGAGCGGAATGTCCGGGGTTCGATCCCCGGCCGCTCCATACCAAAAGACGTTAAAAGATGGTACTTGTTGTTACCTTGTTTGGCGCTCGGCATTAACGGGCTAAAACAAGGACTGGTCGGCTCGGAGTCAGTATACTGTCTGAGTTGGGTATTCATGTTAAACTGCGGCATGGTATCTCAGTGTGCTAGCACTATAAATCGGTATCAGTCCGTACTAGTACAAGCATCCATGGTCCATGAAAGCAAGTGGTTGACATCATGACATCAGCAACATCATTTGCTTTGTTACCTTTCACACAGAACGTCCATGGGCTGCAGCGTTCATCAAAGGACAAATTCCCCTGGATGGAGTACAATGGGCAGGAGGTAGAGGACACAACACTGTGTATCAACTTCCTCAACCAAAAGCTGGGGGTGGACCTCAACAGGAATCTGAGTCCTGCTGACAGAGGGGTAGCTCAAGCCATGCAGGTCATGGCGGAGGAACATCTGTACTGGTAAGTGCTATGCATTTCTAATCTGTCCATCCATCGTACACGAAGGCCCATGAAGCAAAGACTTTGCAAGCCTTTTGCGTATTCTCATACCTTTGTCGATCCCAGCAGTGGTAATGACGCTTAAACCAATGGTGCAAAACAGAGGATCATAAAATCAGGTTAAATCTGAGACTCGAACCCATACTAGGCGGATCCTACTGCACATCGGATTATTGCGCCTCTGACCACAAAGTCTGTACATGTACCTCTATATCAAAATGTACCCTTCCCGTAAGAACCACACAGACACGCACATACACGCACGCACACGAACACAAACACGCACACACACGCACATATACGTCACTACATGAGTGAAATAGTCCCATCACCGTCACTAAGATTAGCTACCTTCAATTTATCTGTACCCGTGAATGAATAACACTATCGTTTCAGGTTCCTTGTCCTCTTCCGATGGCAATATGACAACGACAAATCTTCTATTATGGATGCATTTAAAATAGGGAAGTTTATCTTCTGGATGTATCGACGACAGCTGAAACAGCAGACATGGAGTCAAGGCTTGGGCCGACACACAGAAGAGGAAATAACGGAGATGTTTAAGAAGGATCTACAATCTCTGTCCGACTTCATAGGTATACAGGTGCCTTAAGTACACCTGCAATGTATACACTTTATAGATATCAGTTACATTTTTTAAGGTGTTTTTGTATGTTCCGATGGGTGTATGCTAATAATAAATCGTTGCCAATCAAGGTTTGAAGATAATTGATTCGCGCAGCTTTGATTGGAGGCAGGGGATAGATCCCCAGTGTCAGAGAAGGTAACTGCCTTCATGAACTGAGATATCTGGGCAAAATCGGAGTTTATTGATAGTAAACTGATAAAAGGTTGAAACAATAAAATTAACAATTGCAGATCGGGACTCATCCTCGGCTTCTCTCGTATAACGTTCCTGTATATCCACTGCATGTTTACTTCATGTGTTCCTGGATATCCGCTCCATGTTTACTTCATTGTGTTCCTGGATATCCACTGCATGTTTACTTCATTGTGTTCCTGGATATCCACTGCATGTTTACTTCATTGTGTTTCTGGATATCCACTCCATGTTTACTTCATTGTGTTCCTGGATATGCACTGCATGTTTATTTCATTGTGTTCCCGGATATCCACTGCATGTTTACTTCATTGTGTTTCTGGATATCAACTGCATGTTTACTTCATTGTGTTCCTGGATATCCATTGCATGCTTGCTTCATGTTTACTTCATTGTGTTCCTGGATATCCGCTCCATGTTTACTTCATTGTGTTCCTGTATATCCACTGCATGTTTACTTCATTGTGTTCCTGGATATCCGCTCCATGTTTACTTCATTGTGT